GGGGGCAGCTCCCACAGCTGCTTGTGGGAAGGCATGTGCCCCCTGGATCAGCATGGGGCGGGCAGGCTGGAGCCAGGGCTGTGCAGGGTTCTTCTCAGCAGGGGCTAGGTTTGGGGCAGGCTGCAACCATCCCAAATTTTGCCATAGTCCTGTTCCCAGCACTGCCACCATCTGCCCGGAGCAGCCCTGGCTCCAGTCTGCCTGCGCCACACAGATCGGGGGGGCACCCCCCCATGCCCTCCCAAAGCGCAAGCAGCAGCAGGAGCTGCCCCCTCCAAGCCTCCCAAATGAGCCACAGCTCCATCCCACATCTACCCCACCCTGGCTGGGCAGCACCTGCCCCTGCCCCCTCCACACCCCTTCCCTCACAACAGACTTATCAGCTGCACAAAGCTCTGCATGCTGCCAGGCTCTGCTTCTTGCTGCCCACATGTTGTGCTGCGGCTGCACGCACACCTGGGCATTTATTGGCCAAATTATCGGCCACATTGGGCCAATTTCCAATACTGCCAATTTTCTTTATATTGGTACTGATCCTCTATCAGACCGATGTATTGGTGCACCTCTACATTTAAGGCTGGTGAAGAAACAGGACTCATTAAAAACTGGAAAAGAAAGGCACAGCTCAGCTGTGGTAGTAAAGAAGGAATCTAAACAAAGTCAATGTAGTGGCTCACCAGGACTTGAAAAAGAGTGTGTGTGGGGGGAGGGGAGGGAGGGCAGGTTAAGATAATTAAAAAAAAAACAAACAACTTTGGCTATTTTTTAAATCAGAGAAAACCAGGATCCCTGCTTATTAGCAGATGTATCTGGGTATATGTTTACTCCTTAAAATGAAATGTATCTGGGTATATGTTAGTATAGTCCATTACAATACGGAGTGAATTCTGCTTAATGCAAGTTACTGTATGTGATCCCTGAAGTTTACCATGTTCTATTTCAGTCCCCCTCGCACTACAGCAAGCACAAAAGTAACTAGACAGGTTTACAGAGGAAACAATTTGCAAACATAGCATGGTTGGTTAGGACCCTGTTTTGGCAACACTTCTGTAGGTTACAGCTTTTGCCAGTAAACAGACTGTTATATTGACAGAGAAGTATTTTTTTTGCAGCTTATTCTTCTTGGAGAACCAAGAGAAGCAGAGCAGAAAATGGTCTACATCATACATTTGCCAGTATAGCTAGACTAGTCTTATTATTACTGGCCAGCCTCTCCTGGCATAAATCTGGCCTAAAACAGCCAAGTTTAGAAAGGCACATTATTTGCAAATTTAACTACATATCACTGGAGTCCACATACTTTATAGCAAATTAAAATTCCATAAACTTCAATACTTAAAAGAGTTTATTTTCATCCTGGGCATATACATGTATCAGCTTCTTTGGAGCCCTGCACCCTGGAATTTTACATGAACTAAACATGGACTTCTTCAAAGCAGGCAGCACCTTATGCAGTGGTTCTCAACCTTTTTAGACTCAAGGCACCACTCAGAAAATGACAGCTCTTCATTTTCACTTGTTTTGACTATAAAAAAATAGATAAATTCTGCTATTGCAAAGCACTCAGAAAGATCACAACAGGTCACAATTTTTTTTAACACCATGAATTCCTATTTGAAATCTCTGGGTTTAATCACGTTTGCACACTCAACAGTGCTAACACTGCATGGCACCCCACGGTGCCCTTGAAAGGCTCCCTAAGGTGCCACAGCTCCATAGTCGACATTCACTGGCCTGAGCACCACTACTGTGGTCCCCAAACTAACAGGACTCCCTGCACAGCTGCTCCCCACAGGTCCCAGGCGGAGTGGTCAAACTGCAAGCTAACCCAGGCATTGGGGGGGGGCAGAGCCACTTCTGACCCACGCTGCAGACAGTAGCTGTGGCAGCATGCAGATTCCTTCCTCCAACCAGCTCACAGGCAGAAAGGGAGATGAGGGAGTTAAGGGAGCTGGGGAGGGAAGGAGGTACCTGCATGCTGCCACTAATGTCCCTGGCTGAGCCAGGCTCCTGGCACAGCTAGTCCCTGCAGCACCGAGCAAGAGCGGGTCAGAAATGGCTCTGGGGCTCTCCCTACACCTGAATCATCAGGGAAAAGCAAGGGGGGGGGGGGGGGGG